TCCGTGTTGGGCACTATGGCTGTGTCTACATTGGCATGATTAGGCGCAAAAGCACCTGATTTTGCGCAAAAACATGCTGCCTGTCTACACTGGCGGGGAGTTCTTGCACAAAAACACTGACGTTCTATGCGTGAAATCAGTGCTTTTTGCGCAAGAACTATGATGCTCCTGCTCAGGAAGAAGCCCTCTTGTGCAACTGTTCTTGCGCAAGAGGCCAGTGTAGACAGGCAACATGAATGTCTTGCGCAAGAAAGCCCTATGGCTAAAATGGCCATTGGAGCTTTCTTGCACAAGAGACTGTCTACACTGGCACGGATGCTTTTGCGCAAAAGCACATGCCAGTGTAGACGCTCTCTTGCACAAATACTTTAACGCAAAAACTCTTGCGTTAAAAGTGCAAAATCTTGCCAACGTAGCCTACAAGTATTATCCTGTCAAAGAAGGGTAATAAATCCGCCACTGACCACTTACGTTGGCTTTAGGCCCACTTTTGCCACCATGTTTATAATTGAATTTGGATAAGTATATAGTAATGCAGCTTTGCAAAAATCATATAGTAACTCTGGTACAGCTTTGTGGTGCCGAACTCGCATGGGAGGAAAAAGTTGAGAATCATGGTGGATAATCAAATCTATTTTAGCAACAGTTGAAAACCAACAGGAAACACTTTGCTAGTGACCAATAAGAGAGACAAAATAAGAAGACATAGCTACCAATATCATATTCTTATAGGATGTCATGTGTTCAATTTTGCCTAGAAAAGCTATAGGTCATTTAGCAGCTCCGCAGAGACACAGATATAATGGGACTCTCAGAGGCTCATAGGTTGTAAAAGGTACATTTATTTAGGTAAGCGAAAAGCTAGAGAATAGTAAAATTAAAGTTATGGTAAGTATTAAATATGCTGAAGGATAGTAGATTTCCTTATTTTGATAACAAGGGATACTTCAAGTAGATAACAAATACATAGAGAATAAAAGGAAATATCTCTTCAAACAGCACATCACTAACCTGTGGACTTTACTGCGTGGGAGGTTCCCAAACTTTGATCCGCAGGGAGTTTTCTGGTCATGCGGTGCTGGCTCTCCCTCCTAGCTTCCAGCTGCTAAACTGCATTAAAAGACAGTGGGAAAATGTTTAAATACTTTCCTAAATTTTTGAACCTAAACCATTTCTGGCATTACCATCAGGATGTTTTGCAATGGCCAAGAGGAAGGGAGGAGACCTGGGCAAGCATATATAGGGTAGGAGGGCCACAGTCTTTCCACTAATACGCAGTACATGCTGTGATATTGAGATTGCTTGCTATTGTAGCCTTAGAGGGGACAATGAACAATAACCATTATGGTTATACAGGCAGTCCCCGACTTACGCAGATCCGACTTGTGTCGGATCCGCAGTTACGAACGGGGCTCGCCCCGGAGGACACGGACAGTGGGACCTCGCGGTCCTGCCACCCGTGTACTCTGGGGCTTTCTCCGCGTCTCCCTGGTCTGCAGGAGCAAAGCCGTGGAGGGGCTCGGGCAGCGGGGCAGCCCAGGCGCGCCTAGGCTGCCCCGCTGCCGGAGCCCCTCCGCGGCTTTGCTCCGCGTCTTCCTGGGCTGCAGACCCGGGGGACGCG